CTCTCTCTCTCTATCTCTCCCCCTTTAGGTGTTGTTTTAAATCAGGTATTTCTGTGGTCTTCAAAAGCCAACACATACACACAATTATACAGAGAGTTTCCCATAATTTCATGTTTTTTTATTTGACCTTTAGGCTGCCACTCAGTTTAAAAACAGCCTGATGAAACTCATGGAGATCCTCATGTCTAAAGAGCCATCCTATGTTCGCTGTATCAAACCTAATGATGCCAAGCAGCCAGGTACACTTTTACATCTTCTAATGTTCTTTTCTTTGTGCTCTAATTAATACATTTTGATTGATTCTACTACATCATTCTTTCTCAGGGGTTAATTATGAAATAAAATTATAAAATAATAAAAAAATTAAATTAAACAATTGTTGAGTTTTTTCAATGAAAGTCTCCCAGAGAATAGATTCTGCCCTCTGAAGCATTTCAATATGAAATAGACTGAGGGAGTGTTGGATTTGCATCAGCAACAAGAATGTTTTTTCAAAATATATAAAATAAATGAATACATTAATTTGAGGTAATTAATGGCCTTACGGCTCGTTCACACTGCCTACCTGAGCACAGCGTTTGCATGGCAGAACATCTTGCTTATTTCGGTGCCAATATAAAAAGTTGAGGTCTCGCCTATTTTTCCCATGGGGTTCCCAGAAAAAATAGTCAGTGAAAAGGATCTGTTCATACTCATACTGACAATGTACCAGCAACATGTACACCTTTCACTACAGTTTCAATGTCTATACCTGTAGAATGTGTCACAGACATGACAAACAATATAAATACAATTTTTAAACTCAATACCTCCTGTACCTGATTAAAAGCTCTCTGGCGTTTCTGTGGACAGAATCCATTCATATGTTAACAAGGCTGTAATTGTACTGCATTTCTCAAAGGCAAATTCAGTATAGAAAGATAGGGCTGGCAGCAGCACACAGCTGACACGCTGTCGGTGTAAACACTGCACGCGTGCCAGATGCAGCTGTTGAGCACTGTAGCCGACACACGCTGCTCAGGTAGGCAGTGTGAACCGAGTGTGAGTCCCTTCTTGACATCTTACTGTATACATGTGAATGTATAGTATGTACTATATTATAGTATGTGTGCCATACGATTTGCCATCCGTCTATTATTGTCACCAGTAAATGAGATCTCTCCCTGCAGGAAGGTTTGATGAAGTTCTGGTCAGACACCAGGTGAAGTACCTGGGCCTGATGGAAAACCTGAGGGTCAGGAGAGCTGGCTTTGCCTACCGACGTCGCTTTGAAGCCTTCCTGCAGAGGTGACTGACCTTCTCTCGGAATGACTTTCAGCCTCAGTGACTGTTTACTGTGTTTACTCTTATGTTCAGCTTTCTGTCATTATAATTATGTACAAATGGCCTTAGGTATAAGCCCCTGTGTCCTGAGACATGGCCCAACTGGCATGGCAGACTGGCAGATGGTGTCTTGACATTGGTCAATCACCTAGGCTACAAAGCAGAAGAGTACAAACTGGGAAGGTAATGTTTTGTTGGAGGGAGAAGGAGTCACAGACTAAATAAATGGGTGCAAACTAATCATATTTAAAAGCAGTTTGGATTGAGGCGCTCATCAAATGCCATCAACCTCAAAGTACTTGTACTTTCTGCAGGTCAAAAATCTTCATCCGTTTCCCAAAAACTCTCTTCACCACTGAAGATGCACTAGAAGCAAAAAAGCCAGACATAGGTAAGTAACAGCAATATGGATTGTAAACATTAGGGCCAGAAGAGACTCCCACTCAAATATTACCTTTGTGGGATAAATCCTACACTGATTTATGAATCAGCAGGATCTCTTGAACGCATAAATCCACCTTTAATCTCTTTTCTTTGTCGTGTTCCAGCTTTGACGCTGCAGACATCATGGAGAGGCTACAGGGAGAGAGCCAAGTACCAACGCATCAGACACGCAGGTCAGAGCACATCACACTGCTGTCACAGTTTTCTTCCTCTCCCTTACAAAAATAGTCTCAGTGTGTCCCTAAAAGTGAAATAAGTACTCACAGAAGTGATCAGGTCTATTATGTTGTGCTTTTTTATATTTTTATGACTTTGATGCATTTTAATTTAGCCTGCCAAAACTAAACTTTAGTTTGAGTTATTTTTCAGATGGTGTTTTACTTTCATTTTCACTTCTCTAAATGTTGATTTGGGATTTCTTGCATTGTTGTATTGGGCTGGGATCTGCTTTGTTTTTTGCGTGTACATATGCATAAAAATGGCCATCAGAGTTTTGAAAAATGCCCCTCACATGGTCCATGTTCCCACTTGACTGGACATTTATGTATATTTTTTACTTAATTTCACTTTTCCAACATGCTATACTAACTTTGGGATGTTTTCTTTGGCTGGTAAAAAGGTTGCCTTGGTGTTAATATATGCATGTATGTGTATGTATAGTGATAGTGATCCAGTCTGGGTGGCGTGGGATGAAAGCACGCAGGAGGGCTAAGAGGCGTCGACAGGCTGCTGATTTAATACGCAGGTGCTTGACTGATACTTTGTTACGGTTTATTTCTGTATGTATGTTTCAGCTGCATTGTGCACGTATAGTCAATTTTCTTCCTTGTATCTGTCTTTTTTTTTCAGGTTCATAAAAGGCTTCATCTACCGTCATGAGGAATACTGCCCTGAGAATGAGTATTTCCTGGATCATGTACGCTACTCCTTCCTGAAGAATCTACGCAAAAACCTGCCCAAGAGTGTTTTGGACAAAAGCTGGCCGACACCTCCTCCCTCCCTTGTTGAGGTACTAACAGCCGGAGCTACAGAGGCTCATTCTGCTGACTTACATCATTACATACAGATAAAAGTATGAATACCAGTAAGAATCTGTGATTATTAATGCAAACTCTGCATTGTTAATTCCGTGGTGCCCTACAGGCCTCGGAGCACCTGCGGAGGCTTCACATGAGAAACATGGTCATAAAGTATTGCAGGAGGGTCCAGCCTGAATGGAAGAAGCAGGTAAACTGACCACAGAAAGCACAACCTTAACCCTTGAAAGATGAACAAATATGCTAATTTTTCATCTTGCTTGATTCTTTTCCTTTGCTCTAGATGATGCAAAAGGTTGAAGCCAGTGAGATCTTCAAGGATCAGAAAGACAGCTACCCTCAGAGTGTTGGGAGGCTGTTTTTGGACTCCAGGCTGGGTACGTGATTACGTAGTTACAGTGACATCACTCACTGTCACTCTGGCTCCCAGCTAGAAATGGGCAAACACATGGAGCGTGGGTGGAGATGAAGGGGACTAAATGAAGTGTTGTTGCTGCCTGTGACGGCACCCACTTGTCACTCAAAGCATCCATTCCCTTAATTATGCATAACTTTAATCCTTAATATAATTTAAACACATGAACAGGGAATTTAGCTATAGAGATTAAACCCTTTTTTTGTACCAGGCTGTAAACATGTTTATTTCTGCTGTAAAGTTGGGCATTTTAATATGGGGGCCTTATAGAGATTAATTGTTTCT